CCATATTTAAAAAAGGAGGATGCTGGGAAATAGCAACCCGTCAGCCTCACCTCCAGCCATCTAAGATCACGGAGTGGGTGCTTCTGGAAGATTATATCAAAATATGTGGAAGTCAGGGAAGGTGATTGCAGATAGCCAGCATGCCTTCACCAAGGGCAAATCGTGCCTGATTGATTAGAAGTCTTATTCAATTGAGTGACTGCATCTGTGGACAAGGGAAGAGCTATGGATGTCGTCTGGACTTTTGTAAGTCCTTTGGTACAATCCCCTACAATATTCTTATCTCTAAATTGGAGACACATGTTTGATGAATGGATTATTAGGTGGATAAGGAGCTGGCTGGGTAGCTGTGTCAAAAAAGTTACAGTCAATGCTCCTATGTCCAAGTGGAAACCAATAATGTGTGGTGTCCTTCAAGGGTCCATAGTGGGGCTAATAACTATTTAATACCTTCATCAGTGACATGGACAGTGGCATTGAGTGCACCCTCAGAAAGTTTGCAGATGACCCCAAGCTTACTGGTGAAGTTCATTCACTAAAGGAAAGGGATGCATAAACAGGGGCCTTGACAGGCTTGAGGAGTAGGCCTATGTGAACCTCATGAAGTTCAACAAAGCCAACTGCAAAGTCCTGCACCTGGGATTAAGGCAATTCCCAGTTTCAGTACAAGCTAGAGGACGAATGGAGCAAGAGCAGCCCTGCGGAGAAGGACCTCAGGATACTTGTTAATGAATAGTTGGACATGAGCTGGCAGTGTGTGGCTGCAGCCCAGAAATCCAATCATGTCATTGGCTGTATATAAAGAAGCATGGCCAGCATGCTGAGAGACATGATTCTGCTCCTCTGCTGTGCTCAGATGAGACTCCACCTGCAGTACTGCATCCAGCTCTGGGGTCCCCAGTACAAGACAGAAATGCTGGAGCAGGTTCAGAGGAGATGAAAGATGTCTAGAGGGCATAAAAGTTATCAGAGGGTTGGAGCACCTCTTCTATAAGGAAAAGCTGAGAATTGGGGTTATTGAGCCTGGAGAAAAGAAGGCTCTTGGGAGACCTTATTGTGGACTTTCAATATACAAAGGGGGCTTGTAAGAAAGATGGAGAGAAACTGTAGTGACAAGGAGAAAAGGCAATGGTTTTAAACTGGAAGTGGGTAGGCTTAGATTGGACATAAGGAAGAAACTTTTTATGCTGAGGGTGGTGAGACACTGGCAAGGGCTGCCCAGAGAAGCTGTGGTTGCCCCATCCCTGGAAGTGTTCAAGGCTAGGTTGGACGGGGCTTTGAGCAACCTGGTCTAGTGAAAGGTGTCTCTGCCCATGGCAGGGGGATTGGACTAGATGATTTTTACCTTAAGGTCCCTTCCAACCCCAATTATTCTATGATCCTATGATCTATTTTAAAAATCTGGCTATTTAAAAGATTTTCTTTTTTTTTTTTTTTTTTTTTTTTTTTTTAAGAATATGCTGATACTAGTGGCTGGTGTTATTTAAAAGAATGATATAAGCCACAGTGTCCTAATTCTGGATGTGCCACACTTGTAGTCATACATGTAGGCAAGTCATATTTTTGCTTCTGTATCTCTAAAATGGGTTGTTATCAAAGAATTATAGAAGGCAGGGCTAGAGCAGATTGAGGTCATTACTCCTTCCCTCTGACCAAAGCAAAATTAAATTGAATAAACCTATGTTCTCCGTAATACATGTTTGACTAACCTGCTTTCCTGCTTTAACCTGTCCCCAAAAAAGGACATTTCAGAATCTTACAAAGCTGCTCACTCTAGTGTCATTTTAGAAAACTGTCCTTTTTTACTTGTGTGTGTCACATGTGTAAGCCTGATCTGTAGCTTGAATCTCTTTTGCTCCAAGTTAAGCTCATTGTTACCTCTTCTGGATCTTGACTTGAAATGGCTTGAGAATAACTTATTTTCTTGATCTCCAGGCATTTTTGATGCTTTACATTTATTTTCCATCTTTCCTGATGTGCAGTGCCCAAAACTGAGTGTAATGTAACCTGTGCCAAACAGAATGTAAGGATTCCTTCATATGCCGTGTCAGGTGTACATCCCATCATATTATGACTGCTTTTTTTCATAAATGATACTGTTAATTGATCTTCAGTTTATTAATTTTTTTCTCAGAACTGCTTCTATCATCTCCCATCCTTCAGGTGCTGCCTAAGAGTAGAGCTTTATTCTGTCTCAGTAGAATTGCCTCCCATTGTTTTCAGAGCATTTTTCCCTTTTGTTAAGATCATTTAGTTACCTAGTCTGGAATATTCACCTATCTGCCAGTGAGTTGTGAGAACTGGGAGAGATTTTAGATACTTACCTTTGGAGTAAATGTAGGTGTCCATATGTGAGTTAGGTGTCTAAATGGTCTTTGTAGTCAAACTAATCAATACAATCAATGGAGCTTAGAGATAATTCATTTCTGTCTTATGTAGGCATCTACATTTGGTCACCTGAACGGATCGTTCATTGTACCCTTCATCATTAATTGATGTTAATTCGGTGTGAACATATCAAAGGAGGTCTGTAGGCCTACTTTAGCTTGGAAGACAGTATGAAATAACATACTAAAGCTCTCCGAGAAAGACATTGCAGTGATTTTATAGCTTGTGCAGTAGGAACTGGAAGTAGGAGCCCCAATTATGCCTTTCTTTCTCATCTCTTTGTTCGCATGGAACAGCTCTGCCTCTCACCTGCCTACTCCTAGTTTTTAATTATGAAAATATTATGGAGGAATCTTATTACAAAGCAACAGGAAAAGCTTATTTTTCCCTGAGTTTGTTAAATCACAAAACATGTATTTTCTTTGCACAGGACTCCATCCAGGGGTGAAAAGCAGTCTCAAACCTTGCATATCTCTACATTTTAGTTCCTTGGCAAAGAAGCAGATTAGCCCTAGTGTTTCTTTGGGCATATTAATCAGGGATAGTTTGTTACTCCTGTACTTCATTTCTGTATTTATTGTTACAGCAGGTGTTTGTGGCAAATAAATAAAACTGTAGTTAACATATGTGCAATTTCATTTAATGGTGAGCTTTATATAATTCCCAGATTTTAAGCCTTGTGTGAAAGAAGGGTAACATGGTGGCCATGATCTACGTTTTGCTCTTGAGGAGTAGGCCACATTCCTTCCAAATGTGCAGTTTGACATTCATTGTGAATGCTCAGAGAAGACTTGGGAGTCAAAATTGTTAGTCTTTGTAATGTGGAAGACTGTAATACGATGGTAATACCACCTCCTGTATGCATCTGTGCCATAAGGCACCAATTTTTACTCTTCTGAAATGCAGATGTCTAGGGTGGGATTCTTCTAATCTAAATGTAGATGTCTGCAGTATGGATGTTTGTATCTAAGCATGTCATCTTGCTAAAGTTTATGAGGTAATTCTGGGGAATTATTCATCCAACCTGTTTTTGGCATTTACTTTATGATAAGAAGAAACACGTGTTAGAAGTGTCTGTTTCTCTCCTCTAATGTCCTGTTAATGGGAGGGCTGAAGTCACCCACTGTCATCAGCTGCACCCAAGACCAGGGTTTCCAGAAGACCACAACTGTAGCAGCAGTCAGTGGCTGCTGAGGCCCACAGAGACAGGGAGGACAGCTCTTAGTCAGCCTTTCAGTACCTTCCCTGATACCAGACAGCAAAAGACAGAACACTGAGGCCAGCTGGGCCTGTGCATTGCAACTGGTACTGCAACAGGCAGTGGAGGTTGAAGTCTCAGAAGCAAAAGCATAGCAAACTTTAGTAGTTAGATCTTCAGTATCTTCCCAGTCACTGATAAAGCTGGCATCTTAAAGGAACATAATGTCCCAATATTTTTGTCTGATGCTATATGTACATCTCCTGTTTCTGCCCCTGACGATATTGATATTCTTAGATGGTATCTCTAGACTAGATTCACTCTGTATCCGCAAAAAACATATTTCTAGGGAGAAAGTTCTCTCCTTAACTTTCCATTTGGCTGCAGGAAGTATTTTTCATCGCAGATTTCAGTGAGGAGCTACAATCCAGGCAATCTTTCTGGTGCCTTTGTTGTCAGTTAAAAATGATCTATCAAAGTCCATTTAGTGGGAACTTCAGCCAGACACTTACGAGTGCTGATTCTTTGTTTTTTTTTCTCACTGTGTGGTTCCTAGGTTTCTAAAGGTCTTGACATGCATTCTCTACCAATAAGAAAAAATCCCTCCTCATGAGATTTAAGCATGTTGGTTTTATCTTTAATGGGGCCATGTTTGAGTGTCTGTCATCATGTTCACTAAATCATCTGTCAATGAAATCCACATTTTTAGTAGCCATTACCTCAGCTCAGGGGTAAATAAAGTTCTAGCTTTTATGTCTAATCCTCCGTATTATTTTCAGGTGGATAGGGTAACACTGAGGCCACATCTTAAATTTATTCTAAAGGTGGTTTCAGATTTCTTATTAATCATTATATCCACTTACCAATATTTTTTTCCATGACCCAGTTCCCCAGCAGAAGGATCAAAATGTTGATCCTTCATGAACGTACTGCCTTAGCCAGACAAAGCTCTTCTGCAAATCTGTGACGCTCTTTGGTCTCAAACAGCCTTTGTTATTCACAATCAAATCTAAAAAGATGTAGCGTCAACTTCAAACTCACTAGAAATGGGTTAGCAGACTTTATCAGAGCCACATTTGATGCTATCAGGTTAGATCCACTAGCCCATCTCAAGGCATATACAACTAGAACATAAGGTACTGCCACAGCATGTGCTGGCAGAGTTCCAGCAGCTGAAGACTGTAGAACCACCACACGATCACTGATACTCATGAGGCAGTACTTGGGCTGGTGGCACAAAGGCTTGAAGGACACTGACTCTTCAGTCTTTGTTCCAATGAACAGCTTGCATTTACTGGGGTGACTGCACTCCTGACAAAACACCCAGAAACAGTTTCACAGGTGCCAGAACTTGAAGAAAGAAGAAAGTGGTTGCCTTCATACTGTAATTCTTTGGTATGTTCTTTGTATGTAGCTCCCACAACCATCCCTTCTCTTCCCTGGGTGGAAGGCTCATCATGTGGACTGAGTGCTGCTGAGGAACTGAATGGTGATCTGTTTACATGCTTGTGGATGAAAAGCAGAGGTGAGTGGGTTATGCACACACCTTGTTGTGGACATGTAGTAACATTAGAAACATTTGAATTCTGATGCAGAAGAGACATCTGTTTAGAGTGGGTTTTACCTACATATAGAATCCTGAAGTATATATGTTACAAGGTTACTGACTCTGTATTGTTCCTTGTAAAACACTTGATGTAAACCACAAACAGTGCTATATCTCTGCTGGGTTTTGCCATTGGTATTATTAGCAGCAAAGAACCTATGGTTGCTAACACTATTACTAAGAGTCATGAGTTTTTCATAGGAATTAGACCTCACTAGAAATCAGAAGCAGGATTTGGTTTGTGTGCTGCTAAATTTTCTTCATGAAACCTGGTGATATATAGCAAGATTACATGCCAACCCACAGAAGTCCTTCAGAATTGTTATTTTAAACCTCTATCAATGAAGAGTTTATTCTGAAGACTTTCAAAATGTGTATGCATATGCATTATATACATATGTACTATATATACCTGTAGTGACAAAGTAGTTTAATACATTTTATGGGTCCAGCCTGGAGTTCTGCATGCATGAACTTGTGTGTGGTCAAGGAGACTTGCATATTTTTGAGCTCTAAGTTGGCCTAATAAAAGATACCGTACTACAGTGCTTGCTTTGTCAGCCCTGTTTTGCTGGTTCAAAATTACTTGCAAGATTAATTTTCAAATTTTAACATAAACCCCAAGAAAAATAGGTGTTTACTTACTGCAAGGAGTTGATTCCATGTTAATGACCCTGAAGGAGGCTTGTACACAAGGTGCAGATTGTTGCCAATTTGATGTATATTCATGTTACAGAATATGAAAATGTGAAGTTATACCATCTTGAGGATTTTGTTTTTATAAGTAGGATTGGTTAAAAAAAAGGCTTTAAGTAATCATACTGTGTGTTTGATGGTGAAATTAGTATGAATGTTCCTGGCAGTGGAACGATGTGATGTGGTTATGCGTTTCTGTTTTCACTGCCTGCTCAATATTGGCCTTCTACAAATACAGATTACCATGTCGATGGAAGGAATTTACAGCTTTGCCCCCCTTGTCTCACCCTGTGTTACAGCACCTTTTTTGTACTTTATGTTACATATCCTCCCAACTGTATTTTTCTGACAGAAAAAGGAAATGTCTGTGGACTGAGATCCTGAAAAGTGTGAGCTTTACTATTTAATAAGATGAAACAAGTATTATTTCCCACTTACCTTGATTTCCTGTGGGGTGAAGATTTTGCTCCTCTGAAATCAGTAGCAAATTTCTGCTGAGTACAAGAGGATAGAGAGCTCACTGGTGATCCCTTACCAGCTCCAGTCCCTTACCAGTGATGATGCATACTGGAAGCTCAGAAAAAACCAGCCCATAATAATGATGATGGTAGGAAGAACACTTTTAAAAAATCAGGATTTAGAACTGTTAAATAAAATCCACAAATAAAATCCAAGCTGAATGCAAAAGCTATACGTACAATATGTTTTGTACTGTTAGTTTTGGGGCCTCACAGCCCAGATAGCTTCAAGATCCATTTGGGTTATGTGGGCTGTTACACTTACATCTCTTAGTTACCTCATCTTGTGGGCAAGGAGCTGTTTGCTCTGACTTCATGGAATTGCAGCTGTATTTGTGGAGTGCTCTTGTCCTTTGGCACTCCCTCCGCTGTACATTAATAGGGTTTGAATGCACCAGCATTTTGTCTGGAAGCAAACTTCAAAATGTGCCTTTAATCCTGATGCAGTGCATAGTCAGAATTTTTTCTTTTCCTGCAGTTTAGTTCCAGAGGAAAACATACTTGCCTGGTGCTTCCACCAGCCAGCTGCGGGTTAGGACAATAATTAACAGTAAGATACGGCAGCAGAAATGGGGAGCAGAGAAATGCAGTCCAGCAGCTTCAGTTATGTGGTTCTGTTCACTTTTAAGGATTCCAGAGCACTTACCAAGCAATATTACAGGCAGGATGGGCAGCTCTGCCCATGATGAAGGTTTCTTAACACTTCCTGTTATCAGATTCTGTTTTCATTTTTTTCAGAGCTTTGCCAAATTTAATGTATTTGGGCTAAATTTATTGTTATTCAGTGTCAGTCTCTAGGTTTTTTATTCTTTTTAATTGAAAAGTGATTGACCTATTTATAAAGAAAAGGCTAGTAAAAATTATGTTTTTCTGTTATGTAAAAAAAAAGAAAAAGAAAAATCTTACCCCTGTATTTTTAAAGGTTGTGGAGCAAAGAGAGACCTTTCTCTGCCTTTGAGTCTGGTATGTGCCTTTTGCCATACTCACAAAGCCTTTCAAATTTGGTCAGCTGTTTCAAGACATGGAAAAAACCACGGTTACCAAATATTCCACAGAGATTTACTAAAGCCTAACAGCAAATATTTCCAGATTTTGTCTTCTCCGCCTTGCACAGCTCCTTCCCATGATCAGATTTTCCATACAGCATCTTCACAGAATGACTGAGCTGGTTGCACCAGAGGCCAAACCAGAGACAACCCCTGTAGTATTGTCCCTGGGTGTTAGTTTGAGCTGCAGCGATGCTTTTCAGTGGAACTGAGAGCAGGGAGTCTGACCCCTGTTTGGGGCTCCCAAATGTTTTCATCCATGTGCTGTTGGCAAGCCTTCAGTGTAGTTCCTCTTTGCCACTAGCTTGAATGCACTTAGGGGTTGGACAACCTCAACAAGGTCCTGAGCAACCACATCAAATGTCGAAATCAGCCTTACAAAGAGTGGCGTGTGTGATCACATGAGCTCCTGAGATCCTTCCTGACTTAATGTTCCATGTTCTGTGATCTAATGCCCATGGTTCTGTGATTCTTCACTGTATGCTTCTCTATTAGTCTGTGTGGGCCTGAAGGCACCATCCTAGTTAATGGGTTGGTGTGGGCATGATGCACATAGTGGAAGCAATCTTGATTAGTTTGTTTTTAAAATCAAGCATATGCAAAACACCTCATTGAGATAATGTTCAAGCTACATGGACAAGTATCCTAAAATTAAGAATAACAGAATGATCTCTCATGCATTGAAACACTCTTGCATTGAAACACTGACCCTAGTTTTGTGATTGCACTGTTTTTTTTCTCATATGGCTTCATCCCTGTCTAGTACAAGCCTGTTCCGGAGATGAAGCAGCACTGAAGAGAATTGGTGGATGATAACTGTAGAACTCCACTTGTTGAGAAGGTACAAAGTATTTTCTGAATAAAGCAGGGCATGACAGTAAAAGAAAACAAGGTCTCCAGGTTAAGATAGTTGAATTTCTCTCTGTAGAGCTGGACAGTATCCTTTCTTCTACCATGCTCCTGTTTGCTAATGGGCAAACACTTCCCAAGTGGTTATTAATTGTCAAAAGCACCTTTCTGCTTGTGCCAGTAGTATCTGGAACAAGATGATTGTGCAAATGTCATCCATCAATCACAACTCTTTCTTTGGTAATGTCATGTATGATGTTTGATTTAATACTACCTTCATTAAGTCAGGTAATTGTTGGTTCCTTATATCTAATGTTTAACCTTCTATTTATATTTACACCTTATAATTATTTATAAATTATTATTTGGCAATGAATGAAGCAAACTATCTTGAAAATCTCTGAAATTCACAGAAATGTTCAGGCAGTAAATGAGATTGGTTTTCAGACCTCAGCAGGCTTAATTATATCCTGCAGTTCATTCGTTTGCACTGAAGTCAATTGGAGTTTTACATGTGGAAAGTCTGCGAGATCAGAAATTATGCCCAACAGGCACATAGCTCTAAAGAAGAAAGTGTCAGCTCCGGATGGTAGTATTTCTGACTTCCCATTGGTTAGAATCTCTCTTCCCCCTCACTTTTTCTGTCTTTCTCAATTAGCTTTTCTTGCATTTTTATTTGAATGGTTTTGAAAGGGTTCCTGAAAAGAACCCTGGGTGCATATACTGTATGTGTTTTCATTTACAGATTGCTGAAATGGATAGGCAGATAAATAAATAGATAGGGTTTTCTGAGCTTATGTAATATGTCGCATAATATAAAACCCTCTTCCAAGTCCATTTTGTCAAATATGTCAAATGATTTTTGGAATTATATTTCTGGAATGTATTTTCAGCATTTCTTATTGCTGTTCTTGATCTATGCACCTTTGTTTGATAGTCCCTTAATCTGTCTGATGATATAAACTGAATGAAGAGCAGCATTTAGAAAGATGGCTTTGGGGAGTCCTTAGGAGGTTTCTTTGTAAGCATACATTTACTAGTTCATCTGTAAATTTATTTTATGAGGTGTTTAAACCTCAAGAAAACCGAAAAGCATAATGTTAATGCCTGGTTTACATCTACTAAAGTCAATGGGAACTTTGCATTTGATTTTAATGGTAGCCTATGTCCTCTAATTATGAAAGTGGCAACGATGACACACACAAAACCGCAAGGAGACTTTTCTGTTTCATCATACTGTATTCTGTTTACAGATGCATAAGCAAAATACAATGTGGTTTGTTCTTGAATTAAACAATTCAGTGTTTGGACCTAATCCTGAAACCTGTCACTACTTTAGGTGTTTTGTGTGTCAAAAGATCATGGACTGCTCATTGTCTGTGTGGCTCATGAAGGTAACAAGGTAGAAAATCCAGCTAGATTTTCAAAAGGCTTTTGAAAATTACACTTTTGGTTTTGGTCTTGTTATCTGCCCTATCGTATGAGTAACGGAAGAAGTTGATGAAGCAGTTTTCTTCCTAATTGACTTGTTTTTTTTTTTACATGTGACCTATTTTAACAAGGTTCCTGGAAATGCATACAATATCTGTAGTGCATATGTACATGTTTTCCCTTAAGGATCGCTGACGTGTAGTGGAAAGTTTCCATGATGCTATTGTAGTTCCAGGCATCATTTTTGTATGGTGTTAGTGAGAGTGAGTGAGAGTACACCACAACAAAAAAAGACTCCCAGAATTCAGCTTTTTTTCTGCTAGTGTAACAAGCACAGCAGTCTGAACAGGCTAGATCTGGTAAGTAATTTGTAGTAGTAAATAATGCTAGACAAAAATTCCCACAAGCTTCTTGTTGAGTCTGCTTCAGAGGTATTACTTATTAGTGGCTGAAATGCTGGTCTTGCTTCACATTTTCAATGCTTGTGAAAGATTTAAATATTGTGTTGGTAACTGGAGCCGGTAGCATGCTGCGGGCAAGAGCTCATCAGAAGTTTTTGGGCGCAGCCATGCTCAGTTGGCAAATGCCACTTTTGCGGAGTAAAAATGCTGTCCATGTGGTGCATCAGCTCCACTGAAGCGCCAGAGGGAGCTGAGATGGGGGACTGCTGCACTGTCCTGTGGCTCCCACCAGCCACCCCTCACTTCTTTGATGGGCTGATAGACCACCAGTGTGGTAGAAAATAACAAAGTGAGTAAAGTCGCCCCTTAAGGAGTAAATTCTGGTTCCCCCACTCCAGGTCTCCCTTGGCTCCAGCATAACCAGCTCACCTTGTCCACGTAGTGGGCTAACAGTTCTCTGTTTTCCTCCCCGTGCCTCCTACCAGGCTGGTGGAGGATCAGGCCTTTTAGACACCCTTCCCAAGCCTCCTGAGTCCTCAGGCTGCTGCCCCTTTAGGCTACCCAGCCCCAAGGCTTCCTAATTTACAGGTGGCTGCTTTTTTTGAGGTATCCTAGTGTTGAGGCAGCCAGGAGTCCAGCAGCCCTGGGGTTTGTGCTGTCCAATGATGCAATTGCTTTGGGATTAAGCTGGAAATATTGTATGTTGGCTTTCTCAAAAAAAACAGTGTGTCATAAATTCTCCCTCAGAAAAAAAAAGGAAGGAAAAAAAAAAAGAAAAAAGCAATTATTAGGATTTATTGCTGACCTAACACAAAATTTGTCTGTGCTGAAATGACTTTGGGAAAAGTTAGTTAGAAGAGAACCTGTAGAGAACATTCCAGATGGCTGCTGTAGTCCTTAGTTAATCTTTATCATCTAGACGTGAACAGAGATCTCTGCCGTATAGAGAAATAAATTACATCTGGGAATTATATCTTTATGGGAGACTGATCCTTCCTAGATGTAGGTTGTCTGGACAGCATTCAGGGACATCTAGTCTAGGTCATGTTTTGTCTAGAAAGGTTGAACCAGATGATCCCTGAGGTCCCTTCTGACCTGGGATTCTGTGATTCTATGAAGTAGGGACCTATTTCTCAGGGCATCCATAAACATGGTAGATGAAATACCTCTTCACCAAATAATTTCTCAACCAGTCCTATTTTAGACATAGTTTTGATGAGCACCATGGCTTCTGTGGAAGAATAATAACAAAAGAAACACTGAAACAAGTACTCACAAGTCTACTGTGTTCACATTACGTAGAAGAATAAACAGAAGCAGGACTGCAGGATTGATTTTGAAAAGGAGTATTTTGATAAACTACATGAATTAATTACTGAAGTAATCCAGACTAAGGACACAAGGGGTCAAAATATTGAGGAGGTGTAGAGTTTTTAAAGTTTTCATGTGAAAACTGCCTAGAACTTACATCCTAAGCAGAAGAATGGGAAAGGCACCATATCTAATTCAGTGGGTAATCATCACAGGAAAGATGCTAACAGGTAGTGCAGGGACAGAGTTAAAAGAGGGATCAGCAAAGAAGGTTGTGTCTCAGAAGGCAGGGTATGTAGGAATAAAGGAAATAAATGAAATCAGCTTGATAGAAATACCAAATAGTTCTTCCTCTAGAAAAAATGTGGGAAAGAGAAAGGCTCCTGTGCTGTGAAGATGAACTACAATCTGTGTTGGATAAACTGATGGTGATCTAGCACCAGGGCAGTCTGGAGGCTTACTGTGGGTATGGGAATGGCAGATAACCAGCGGATGAGGGAGCAAAGCTCAGGACAATTAATGGGCTTCACTCAGGGGAGTGGGATGTTGACCCAGAATTCAGGCAGAACATGTGTATGAAACTATTTGTGTGAATGTCTCATAAGGAGGAAAGGGACCATGTGACAAGAGCACAGTTTCGCTGTGTAAGAAGGGAGGAGAGACTTGCATGGACAGAAGCAGGCCTATTCGTTTGACCTCTGGGGTGCAAAGCTTTGAAACAGTTCTTGAAGGAAAGAAATTTCTATACAGTAAATAGGAAAAAAAAAATTTGAAAAAAAAAAAGCAAGAAAAAAAAACCAAAAGCCCTTGAACATGGTGTGCAAATCTGAAATCTGGTTCATTGATTTGCTGGAAGAGTGACATGTTTTCAAATCTAACCTTTCTGGATCTCAGTGAAGAATTTACTATGGTACAGCAGCATATTTAATATGTCCTCAGAAAATATTTTTCTCTGAGAAGGAGAAGACAAACAAGGAAGTTGGGGGGATATAAAAAGGCTTAGAGTAGTGAAATAGCAATTCTCTGATCAAGTTCACCGGCTAGTTTGGGTCAGGTAGCTATGCTTTTTTTTCTCCATGGACTGACAATACACCCTGTGCAGTCTGCAGTCATGTGCAGACGTGGAAGACATGCACAGCATAGATTCTCTCTTATCAGAGTTTAAAATATATGACATTTTGGCTGAAAGTATATGTTTTTAGTTGGAAAACCATAAATATAATTCTGGTGTTTGGGGTAGGATTGTAAAGTGACAACTCAGAGAAAGGGAAACCATGTAGAAGGGAAAAAAAGACAATGCAAAAATAGAAATGCAAAAATATGCAACAGTCAGGAACTTCCTCTGTGCAGAGGCGCTCTTGTGGTTCTGGATCTGTATCAAGTTTGGGGGTCAAACTCCTGTATAGCACTAACCTTTCCTAAAGGGAAGGAGGGGCTGATGTACACCTCCTCTGCTGCTCCATGGTCTGGGCAGGGAGACTGCCCAGCCAAGAGCATAGTGAGCTTTCCTCAAGTATGGTGGGGGCAGCATGTACTTGTGGCTGTGTTCAGATCTGTCCCACAGGCAGTACAGACAGATGGGTTGGTCCAGGTTTCCAGGAGCTTTGGGTCTCTACACAGCAGTACACTTCTTAGTGTTTCCCCTGTGTGTGCTCCCCTTGTACACGGGGGACTTCCAGCACTCACCAGCCTTTAGTGCTCTGAAGAAACGGGCATACTTTCCCAGTTGCAAACCTGAGCCTTTCAGGTCTCTTCAGGTCAATATAGGGTAAGTTGCATTCAGAAAATGTAGGCTACCTGGTATACATCCTCGTGGGACAAGTGCTTGTGCACCGAGAAGTGTCTTCACAGTATCTGTGCAGCCCAAAGCAGTTACTGAACCCTAGAAATAACCCTCTGACTTGGCTGCAAAGGACTGCAGTTGGAAGGAGAGGAATTTCTCTTAGAGCAGTGTTCCCCAAGGGCCAGTGCTGCGTACAGTATTGTTTAACTTACTCATCTGTGACTTGGATGAAGGGATAGAGTGCCTCCTCAGCAAGTTTGCTGATGATACAAAACTGGGAGGAGTGGCTGATCCCCTGCAGCACTTTGCTTTTAGTCAGAGGGATCTAGATGAGCTGAAGAGATGGGCAGAGAGGAATCTTCTGAAATTCAACAAAGGCAAGTTCAGGGTCCTGGGCCTGTTCAGCCTAAAGAAGAGATAATAGTAGAGAGGAGAGAAAAAGAGAATATGAGAGGAGAGAAAAAGAGAAGATGAGAGGAGAGGGGGCAAGGCTCAGGGTGAATCTGATCAATGTATAGAATTATCTGAAGGGAGAGTGTCCAGAAGATGGGGCCAGACTCTTCTCGGTGGTACCAGGTGGTAGGGCAAGAGGCAATGGGCATAAACTAAAACACAAGAAATTCCACCTGAACATGAGGAAGAACTTTGCTGTGAGGGTGCCTGAGCATTGGAGTAGATTGTCCAGAGAGCTTGTGGAAGCTCCTTCCCTGGAGATATTCAAGAGCTGTCTGGACACGATCCTGAGTAAATGTGCTCTAGGTGACTCTGCTTGAGCCAGGAGGTTGAACTAAATGACCCCTGGTTGTCCCTTCCAACTTCAACCATTCTGTGATTCTGTGGTCCTTTGAGAGAGGCCACGGAAAAGTACATGCTGATAAAGTCCCTTACAAATACTGAATTTATGTGGGTAAGACAAAAAAAGAAAGCTTGATACAAATGAGAGAAGAAAAGGACATCATAGTCTTTTTTGGGGAAGAAAGTACTCTTTGAAGTACAGAATCAACCAAAGCTGGAGGCAGCCGGTTACAGGAGGAAGAAAAGTTATGTCCATCATGCAGAGGAAAAGCTACACATGCAAAACTAGTGAGAAAATTAAACCATGGCATGATATATTGCTATTTCTTGTTCCGTGTGGATCAGTTTAAAGTAATGCTTAACTCTGACGCTGGAGATCATTTCTGCAGAGCCCAGCGCTATCCTCAGGGAGGTCAGCTTAAGCCAGAGGCATTTGAGGAGGAGCTTTTTGGTGATAGCATGGTTTAGCAGCTAAGGGAGTTTGGGTCAGCTGGGACTGGTCATAGGGCATATGTTGTTTGATGGGGGGAAGGGATAGGAGCATTTCTGTGGGAAATGATGCTGGTAACACATTACCAGAAGTGATGAGAGCGCTTAAAAACACTGTAGCTGCAGTGCTTCGGTCCAAACCAGTTTCCTAGTAGCTGCTTACTAAGAAGTGGGATAGATCTGTGACGATGATGCATATCTAATGATTTGGCAAGCAAGGCTTAAAAGCTTTAAGTTAAGAATGTCCTAGGTGAAATAAAAAGAATGGGACATGAAAGTAATCCCAACACCGGGTTATTCCATGCCATGTGAGCTCAATAGGTGGAGTTGAGAGAGCAGAAAAATTCTGCCAAATTCAGCCAGATTCAGAGCTCTCATCTTTGTGCAGAGGCTTGTTTGAATCCCAGGCTGTGTCTGTCCGATGCATGTATTTTATTCACCATGTGTGGCATTAAAAGCTGGAAAGACTACTTAAGGGTAAGCAGTAACCTGATCTCAAAGCTCAAGCTGACCTTTACTCTGACAAGACAAGCAGTGCTATCACTTTGGGATAAGAAGGGTCTTTTTGCTGCATTATAACACAGTTGTCAGTCAATTGTTGGCAATGACATACTCAAGGAGACACTCCTTGAGCTAAGTGGAGCAGCTAGAAAACCTTTTTCAGTAAATCTCCTCAGGCTCTGGCAGTAAAAGGTAGGAACATATCTGCACAAGCATCTTTTCTGCATTTTTCTATGCTTTTCAGCTAGCTCAAACCTTGTGGAGAAGGCCAAGCTATCATAGGTTGGGGGATTATATCAGTCTTTCTGCTTCCAGCCTGCTTCTGTTCTCAGCAAAGTACTTAACCCTGGGCTGAAGCCCCACTCTGAAGATGTTGGGATGTAGCTGGGCTCCTTATGAAGTCATTGCTTTGTTACGGAGGATAAATCAAAATTATGATAAGGTTCCAGCTTTTGATAGTTGTAATCATATATGATAAGCAAGGACTTTATAAACAGAAGTATGTACAACCAGAGGTGGGACTGAAGTTTTGATGAACTTCACAAGAAATACGTTTAAAGAAACTCTCCAGATCTAAACTATCCATTGGAAGTCTATTAAAGTGCCTTAGTTTACACCAATGTACTCCCTTTTCACGTGTTTGCATTTACCAAAATAAATAAAAAAAATCTTTGTAAATCAGTCACTTAACTATCATACTAAAGCAATGTTATCTTCTTTTCACAGATGGGAGAACTGAAGGAACAGAGTTGTGAAGCCATGTATCTGCTCAAAGCCATAAAGAAGACCAGTGACAAATCCAGGAACAGAAACCAAGTCTCCTGAGTTGCAGCCTAATGCCACTAAATATTGTGATCAACAAGACAGTTTGCCTTCTGATGTTAGTGAGGTATGCCATAGCAATACCTATATATTAATAATTGACCCAAGGGGAGCGCATTTGAATCTGTATGTTTGCCTATGCTCTTCTAAATAATTCAAAGGAATTGTTTAAATTCTAATTCTGAATTGTATTTGTAATACTGTTTTCTGTATAAGTGAGCATTTTTTTCCACAAATATTTCTTCGCAAGTCATGTTTAAAACATAAAGGTCTCAAAATCTGATTTCTTAAAATTACCACAACTTCTTGTCCAAAAATATACTAGAGTAGCTTCAATAATTCACATTTCTAGATGTTTAGAGTCCAACTGTAGACTTTTCTTCAGGGTCCTGAGCACCTACTGTTCTGCTTGCCATTATAGAATATGGCGGATAGTTGGCATCTCAGAAAGAGGAAATAAATTTGTGCCTTCCTAATAAGGGTATTCTTAGCATTGGAAATCACTTTTGGAAATATTGCTGCAAATGTGTTGAAAGCATCAAAATCTCAAGCCTGGCTTCAATTTAGCTGGAGGGCAGGCTATGCCAATAGACCCAGGAAACAGAGGTGCTATGAATATGGAAGCCCATTACAGAGCCTAACGCTGCTTGGTGTATTGAAGAGTATTTGTCACAGCTTTGGCAAAGGTACAACTTGCTTTCTGTCTCTCCTAGCAGTGTCCTCCTATACGGAGTCAGGAACATGTGCACAATACTTGTCTTTGAGATGCTAATCTTTTGGGGTGTTAAACACCAATAATTGCATTAGCAGCTGGTTTTACTTGCACTTGATGGTTTGAAGCAGCACAGCAGCTTTTTTGTGTAAGATAGGGAGGGTTTTAAATCTGATTGGAAAACTATTACTTTTGCAAGATACTCCTTATAGCACCTTTACAGTTTCCAAGTCTTTATTTGCAATAGTTTACCTGGACACAGATGCTGAGCATGCTCTGAGAATATGTCAGGTTAGCTGCAATCAAACCTATAAAGTATCTGCAATTCATCCATGCTTCTCCCACCAGCAGGTGTCATTCTGGAAAAAGGAAAATATTGTAAATTCCTGAACTGGAGAATTTGGCTGTGACAAGAAAAAAAAAAATGTTTGCTTAAAATATAGCTTTTGAAGGATACTCTACTCCAAATCAAAACCAAAAGCAAGTTGGCTGGTCTGCATTTTTCATTAATTTTTTGTGCAGCATGTAATCCTGCCATATAGCCAACAAAGGGCAGATGGTTAGTAAGGCAAACCAATGTCTAGTTAAAGCTGTTTTCTGTTTTCTGCTGTTCTCTGTGACATGTTCACCACTGCTTACTCACTGTCCATGACTATAAAATCAGTGATATTCATCGATCTGTATGGTGGCCTTTTGGCTTTAGTTCCCCCAAAGGAAACACAGAATTAAGATGTTGAATTCAGCTCTCATTTACTTCAAGGTGAACTAGAAGTAATCCTATTGAAGCAACTGAAACCGGTAGAATTGCTTAGGATTTAGGCTAAAGTAACCAAAAGTAGTATTTCATTTTCTACTCCATAAATAAGCCTCAAGCAGAAAATAATCATGTAATCATTTTAATGTCTGTTGTAACATTTATGTTTTCCTTTAAGTGTCCATCTGGGTATTAGCTGCAGTCTCTTTTAATATGAAGAGACTCTTTTTGGTGTTTCATAATCAGAGTGAGAAAACTATGGCTGAGTTATAAAGAACCAAGATCCTGCTGGTTCATTGCTGAGGGCTCCTGGTCTACCAAGTCTAGTCTTTTGGCAATGAAAAGCAAAATTACTGTGAAATCCATGCAGAGGGTGTCTTGCCCACCCTATATCCTATTGGATGTTTTCTTTCAGAAGCTTAGTTTTCTATGCCCCAGCATTACCTTAAGCTCAATTGATTGCTTTTAAACAAAGGCAAGCAGAAGTGTGTACCCTTAGTTATTGCCTTGCATACAACATTAATGCAACAGCTTTCGCACTCTGTTAGAAATACTTCACCTGATCCATCTTAGCACTGTATCTACTTTTCTTGTACCTTCAATGCAGTCATCTTCCAGTTGGCTAGCCCAGCCAGGCTAATTTTTTCCTCAGCCATTTCTAGAAATGCTACTACAAAGGATTATTTGCTACTCTGATGTGATGCTCCACCAAAAACTCTTCTTGGAATCAAAGGGAAATTTGCTTGAGGAAAACTATGAGAACAAGCTCCAAGGCTTCGCTGCAAGAACCACCTTGAAGTGGGAATTAATTCTACATTTTTAGAATTTGTAATCACAACAAAGTGATGTAAAATGATTGTACTGTAGTCAACCATAACTTTATCAGGGCATCATTTAACTACCGATGTCACAACGCTTGTCTTGTGACCCGTATCAAGCAATTGGTTGCTGAATGAGACAAAATAGTATATACATTTAGAATTAATAACTTCACTCTAGAATAGCTAAAAGCTGTAGTCTTGGGTTTGCATGAAGCCTTTTCTGATTTTTTGGGTATTTAACTTTGGAAACATAGTGGTATTCTAAAATTTGAAATTAGAAAGTATAAAAGTATTGTGAATGTGACCAGTTCATGATGTGCTTTATTTCTATAGGACCTATGTAGCAAGTGGTGATGATCTCTGAGACATTTTTATGCAGTAAGGTATGAGATTTAGACAAAGTTATTTCTTTGGAGTTTTTAAATTTTTTTCATGCTTTTAGTTAAGTGAAATCATATAAAAATTTGTTTAGTCTTTTTTGTTTTTCAGTGTTAGTGTTTTATTAATTTTAGAAGAAACACATGTGTCTAAACACAGACCTGTGTCATTTCAGAGCCCCTGGGTATCCCACCTGGCCTCTCACTGCTAGTTTAAAGGTGTGAGTCTCCTGTAAGTTCCACATCATCTCTTCCAGCCCTGCATGCTCCAGGGTATTTCAGCAGACATTAAGTACCTTCTTTTAGGCATTTGAATTTGTCCTTTAGATAAGTGATGTAGAAGATAATATGCCTCTACAAATGCTTAACAAAATTAAAGATAGCACAGCTGTGAAGGTAATTCCATCCGAGGTGTTTTGTTTAAGTTTAACAAGACGTAGAGCCAGGAAAATAATTTTGTATCTAACAAGTACAGAGTTAGTGTGTTCAGTGGGATGCTATCAAGAATCTGTTTTGAATTACGGTGTCTGAGCTGAACCTGTGCGTGAGCTGGGAGCTGCTCTTGCTGAGGGTACACACTATGAAAGGTCCTGGCCAGAAATCTGGGGCTTTTCATCAGGAACACAGCAGTCTGATGTTCAAAACTGTTGAGAGTTTGGCAAAAGTAAGCTTAATTCCTCAGTTTCAGGCATGATGCAGCAGACTAATTTCACTGAAGAAAGCAGTAATTTCAGGTACCAGGGAACTCAGATAGAGGTAATTAGAGAAATGCTTGCATTAATTACATAGGCAATTAGAAACCTATGTTAATCAGACCCTGTTTTGATGGTCTACTGAATCAGAGGGAAGTTAAAAACCTTGAATATATTAGTTAGTGTAATTATATATGAATTGTAAATGTGACGTTGAGAAGTACTGAACTGTTCTATAAAAAGAAGAATTTGCTGTATATAATTTATACCAATTATAAATTGTATGCATATAAAATACATAACTCATCTTCAAAATGAAATTAAACCTATTGAAAGATAGAACATTCTGGATAAATGGGCATTAATTAGGGTTGTATGGATAGAGAACACTCTCCCATGAGCTTTTTTTAATCAGTCACTAGCATTACGAGCGATAGGAATTTGGACTACTTTTGTAGAAGTTTAGAAAATGAAGTTGTTACAGAAAAAGGCACGAAGTTGGGTCACTTAAAAAGCAATCATGAAATCTGATTTAGTGGGGCACTGCAGTAATTTTATCATTTCTAAATGAAACAGAACTGTTTTCATGTACTCTTTTTTTTTTTTTTTTTTTTAAAGTCTTTATCAAGCTTCTTCAGGACCAACCCCCAAGGCATGGCTTCAGTGGTTTGAAAGAAACAGATACCCTCTTGGTATCATTCATTTCACTGATCACTGGGAATCTGAGCTTGAATGAAGGTGGAGGAAGGCTCCTACAGAGAACTGGGAATGGTTTGTCCCTTAAGAAGGGTATAACGGCATTTTTAATATTTTTACTAAATACCAGGGCACATGATAAAAGTTTATGGACTGGGAATTAATTGAAAGATTGTGAAATTGTAAAGAATGTGCATTATGGCAAGCCTCAGAGAGTTACAACCTAAGCACCCTGACATTTGAGGCCAAGCCCAGAGAATATCTCTTGAGTTATTGGAACCATCTCAGATGACTGTTATTTTTGATATGATTTACCAGGCCCCAGTAAGCTCTCCCAGCCAGAGTGGGAAAAGTTCCTTTTATTAGTGTTAGTCCAGGAGATTGAAGCACACTCTGGTCAGTGAAAGATGTAGTTTATGGAATTAGCTGCAGAATTCAGATTGAAAAAAAAAAGGCAGCATGAATTTGTCCCTGGGAGGTGGCACATGGTTCAAAAAATGCTATTCAAAAGATAATGTGCTTGTATCTAAACTCTGCTATTTGCAACATAAAGGTTTACGGTTTATATGCATTAAATATCTGTACGATGAAACGTGAAATGTATAATTAAAATAATGATCATAAGTATAGAACTATGCAAATATTATCTAAATCATATGTGTGAATGTTAAATAAACTGTTTAATTTCCAGAGATTACAGAAAATACTAAAAAATTTTATGGTCTTTCTACCCTTACTAGTTTTTAGTGTAATTGCAGTTTTAGAGCTAATCTGTCTATTCATTTTTTAATATTTGCAGTTGTGTTACATTTTACTGAGGAACAATTCAGTTTGGGGAAACTGTTGCACTTAATCCTAACTGTGTTTTGTGTCATTTGAACAAGAAGTCCCTGAGCATTTGTCCCAAATACCAACATTTTTACTCCATTGGCAGCTATGTATTTGCGGTCACCCTACAGCAATGTAAGCAGAGAATGTATAGAGTGGCAGTAACTCTTCCAGACAGGACCAGGAGGAAAACTGGATGTGGTCAACCCACACATAATTTGCTCTTCTTGGTGGAGGTCTCATGCAGACAGCACTTTAATGACACCTCTTGTTTCTGAATAAGATGAAGGTAAGAGATAGAAACCATTTGGAAGCCATTGTTTATGTTCCCTGAAATGGGCTGAAAAGAACAGCTCTTCTGAGACACAGCTTTACACTGAACATACACAGAGCTGTGTCATTATTAATTCTGAAAATGAATTTACAATGGCTAGGTAAAATATTTAGTTAATATTTAAATATTTTGATCTATTATAGCTTATAGGCAAATTTTAGATTTCTACTGCACCTAACACTTCCAATTTAAATAACCAGTTTCGTTAGGAGCTTTAGTGATACAAATTAATAACAAAAGGCAGTTAATACAGAGTGCAGTTATGAGACCAAAATACATGTGGTTTAAATTTAAAGAATTAAATGTTAGCATTTCCCTATAGAGAAAGCTTATTTGGGCAGTGGTGTACTGACATTATCACCACCCACAGAGAAAGGGACCTGTTGATCCTCATGGTTAAGCTGGAATTCAAAAAAAAAGAATATATGTCTAGAGGGTTTTCTTGGTGTAAGTGAATCACACAGGAAAAATGCTGATACCCGGAGTCATTGTCGTGACCTTTGATGGTTAGAAAGAGAAATAAGCGTGCAATATTTTTTGTCAGGTTACTCACTAGGTAAAACTGGTCTTGGTTATTAATATAGTGGAAAGTTAAATGATGACCGTGGAAATATGATAATCAGTGCTGTTGTAAATTAGACAGAAATGGTTTTCTGTGACCATTAGGAATGATAATCCAATGTGTTAACCATTGGGCTGAAGGGCTGCTAAGAAAATAAATGTGGAAGTGGATAAAATAAGGATAAAAGTATGTTTAGGTAGGTGTTTCTTCAAAGCTTCCTTCAGGAAGGTGTTTCTGGACACTACCCTACTGCTTCTGACAAATTGTGTCTGTTAAGGTGAAGGTAAGCAAACAGCATTCATTTACCAGTAAATAGTGCTATCTGTATCTCTGGATTTCTGTTTAAGTGAATGTTTATAATAATTTTATTGGACCTAGCTGGAAACAAATCTATTAAAAATAACAATTGCTAATTGCCACTATTTAATGTTAGTTTAATCTGACAACTCTGGAATGGCTTTGCCTGTTATTCCTGGAAGAAACTACATAAAATCGGGTAGTTTTGTGTAGTTTCATAGCAGACATGAGACTGCACGGAAAAGCCAGGTCTCAGCATCACTGCACGGAAGCGAATCTTGTCTATGACCCTCGGTCTGACAGCTTGAACACAGGCTGAGTTAAACCCCAGGCTACCAGTACTCTGCACTTTGTCTTTTGAAACTTTCTGGGAGAGATGCAGTTTCAAAATGAAAAGTCAAAATACAGTGGTTTACAATCAGTTTTGCTTTTTTTTTTGAAGCTAAAACTCAAAGCAAAACTCCTGGGGTATACGACTGTACGAAACAAAACATAAGAAAGTTAACACAAAAACTCTGCGAACTGAACAAGCTAGTTTCACTCAGCTCTTGCAGTAACCCCTTTTTACAAGCTCACTTTTCAATTGTATGCGTGTGAGATGTCAAAAATGAGTTGGTTTCACTGCACCAACAGAGAAACACCGCAGCTCTAAAGCGTCACCCTCTGCCCAAGCAAGGTCTCACTCTCCATCTCAGCTGACACTTAAGATATCTGCCAAGAGATGAAATTTTCTCAGTCCCAGGCTGGTTACATACAGCTTTCATCTGTCTGAAAAACAAGGGACTTGAGAGGCCAATCCTGGCCCTTATGTGGTTTATAGTTGTATCCAGCTCTGAACTAATTATTTAAATCTCTACATGACAAGAGTCACCCCACCTCTGCAAGGTTATCCAAGCATTCATGTGTTTTAAGTTCAAAGCCTGGTATTTCAGAGATGCTGAACACCTGCTGCTCTTCTGAGCTGGTATGGGAGCTGCAGGTGCTCATGCCCTTTGAAGATCAGACCTCTCCTCCCGAGGTACTCTTACTTACAGTGAAGCGATGAGCAACCGTCTGCTGTGCTTTTGCAAAGCTTAGTATAACTGGCTTGAAGCAAACCTGTGAACTGCAGTGAGACAGAGCTACTTTTGGTAGTCACTGCTGAGCGTGTATGAGTTCAGACTGGTCAGGGCTCCTCTGTCTGCTGGGCAGCTGATCCATTTTCATTCCCCCAAAACACTGAGGGACTGAACTCCTGAGCTTCCAGAATTACCACTGATGGAGAAGCAAGACCTGAGCAGCAGTGAGGCCAAGTGAGTCAGCTTCTAGATGTAGATCTCAGGCTTTGGCAACTTTGCTGAGAAGAGCTAGAGTGATATTCAGGAAAAAAACCCCATCATCAGATAATCAGTGATCTTGTGTGGTGTGTATAAATTTTGCTTATTCATATGTCAATTTTTCATGTTGAACTGGTACCTAGGAAAGTGCAGAGTGCAAGGGGAATGGCTGAATTTGAAGGTTTAAGGGTATCTTGAAATACAGCTCAAAGACTGAGTTACACAAGAGTGAATTTTATATGGTGTGAACATATGTAACTGAAAAAATATTGGGCTGTTGGTGGAACACAAATATTGTGTGACTCTGAATTGCGCTTGGTATTTTAAACCACGAGAGTTTCAGATTTGAGTCATAGTAACTTGTAAGTAGGAGATATATATATATAGGCATATATAGCACGCAAGCTGTAAGCAAGGCTTCTGCCTGGGGTTATTTTCCTCTCAAATTGCAGATTTGGTTCTCTGTTATTGTAAATCGTTATAGCCTCAATGAACACTCAGATTAGATGCTTCCAAAATTTGAGAAGAAACCTGAACTAGAAGCCTTTGCAATCTTCTATTTTCTTCTCTGTTTGGCCACTTTGCTTTTCAGAACCCATGGCTCCATCAAACCATATTACACCTTTCTTGCATCTCTGCTTCTCTGTGGTGCTACCTGCACGGAGCTGGCATTGGAATTTATCCAACCTCTAATTGACCTCATCAGAGCCCTCAGCAGCATCTAATCTTTCAGTAGAGACAGAAACTTTGTTAGCACTGCTCAAAGAGCACCTTTAACCCAAGATCTTTATTGGAAAACTCCTCCTGTCAGAGCAAAAGCTGGAGAATATGACACACGAGTGCCTGCTAGCAGCCCCAGAGGCACGTGTGGGAAAATGTTTGTTTTCTTTTTTTCCCTTTTAATTCAGCACTTTGACTTAAAACATGCATCTTGCCAAGCAAAGACTGACTTGTTGAACAGAAGATTGTAAGGTGGAATTAGAGGCTCTGCTTAAGAGAAAATCTGCTTCAGCCTAGAGAACAATCCCACCACAAAATAAAATGAACTTTAAAAGTAATGAGGTTTTCCACTATTAACTTAATAGCAGCAAACCACATGTTCTAAACAATGGTTGCGTTTTTTTTTCTTTTTTTTTATAAGGACTCATTTTTAGTAACAAGCCCCAGACTATTAGCTCTGCCGTTTTGCCACTGCTGGAGGAAAACATGGACTCTTGCTGAGTTGTACGGTGAATATCTCAGAGATACTTGAATCTGCCACCAATAAAAAGGCCTCTAAATTGCTAGCATGGAGGAACCAGTTCAAAGTAGAGGAAATGGAAAAATGGGAAAAAGAAGAAACATTGCTTTGGATATTTAGCGCTTTCTCTTATTTTTTAGATTATATTTCTTCTGGGCTCCCAAAATCTTTGGTAACAAACAAGTTTTCTTTTAAAAAGTATTAAGTTATCAAAACATTTGCCAGGTCCTAATATTAAATCCTAGCAGTCAGCAATGTTTAAGTTCAGCCATATCATTTTGCTGAGTAAGTAATGCTAAAACTTAAAGTTTTCCCCTCAGAATGATCTTTCCAAATGAGATTGATATTGTGGGTAAAAAAGAAAAACAGAATGATGCCTTCATCATGAGGAATTATGGAATTAATTTTCTTTATACACTCTGTTTGCATAAGACATTTTTGTTAACTCTTAATAAAAATACCATTCAGCTGCTACTTTCATTGTTTTTATCCTGGGACCAATACAACATTGTCATTATTGGATATAAAGTGCTGTAAAAACAAATCTAATTTGTTAAGTTTATTTTGATAAGAAATAAATATAAAGGTAGTGCATGGTTTGTACAGTGCTGCTATCATAGGACTCCTGGGTATAATTTATATAAAGAAAATAGGAAAGCATACATAACTTTGTAGTTGATTTCCTTTAACAGGGCTAATTGAAAACAGTTTCTGTTATTTAAAAGTAATTTATTTTAAATATACTTTTTCAAACAAAGTTCTTATTGATATCCATTTTAAGTATAATATTATCTCAGTGTGGGATACAAGTAAAAGGTCAGCTCTTGTAGGAGTATTTTCTGTATGACTCAGTTCTGATCATAGATAAACTTATCAGTGAAACAAAATTAGTTAACCTTTTCAGTACCAAAAACTTGTTTTAACAGCCCATGATGGTTTCTTTCACAAATGCATAACTTCAAAGCTCATAGTTTTGTTCTGAAACATGACAAAGAGAGTGCTAATTTCCCTTTTCTCTATCTGATAAAAGGCAAAGGCTAGTGATTCTAAAATCAGTGAAATTAGACTCGTTGAGATGTGGTATGTAGGCACAGTAAGCAATACATTACTAATTTTTAGTCAAGAGCTGTTGTAGCACAGTGGTACAGCAACAAAAGCAATTTTTTACTTCAATTACGCTTTAATCTATGGACATTGTTAAAGGATATTTCTTTTCTTGTTCAGTAGTGTAACACTTGTGTATGGGTCTCATACACAGCACTGAAAAGCGCTGTATGAACAAAATGGCTGTACATGGCGTATCCCTAGGAACCAGTCTCTTTCCGTATTGTTTGATAGATTGTTCCAATTCCTGTCCAGTTAACTGGTTTGCAACATTTCTCAGAAGTCCCTTCAGCTCTGCTTCCTTCTTTGTTTCCATTGCAGCAGCACTGAGAATTCAATGACTTGGGTTGCTTCAATACATGCAGTCACACTCAACACCAGTAACTGTCCTTCTTTCTCAAAGCCAGATCCGGAATGATTCAAGGTTTTAATGGATTTCAGATCTGGGACCACACTCATATCTGAGAAAAGCTCTCTCAGATGTTAATGAACCGAAGCTGTCTTCATGGCATTTGCGCAATCTCACCTCTATCGGCATGATTTAATGTGGTAGCTGGGGGACAGTTTGACTCATGGTGGGTTTTGCCTGCAAACTCACTCCTGCCATCTTTACTCATTTTGCACAGTATTTACTCTCACTGTCTTGTGTGAAGCGGTTGCGCTGCAAAGGATTAAAAGTGGTGAAGTCTTTCTCCTAATAGCTCCCAGAGAGCTACATTTCAGATATTACCTGCTGGAGAACTCTCAAGACACAGGTATTAATGACGTTTCTCCCATTCAGTGAAGTAAGTACATTAAAATATCCAAGGGTGAAGATAACCTAGAAATCTGGTTTTGAAGGTCAAAGCACACACAGCGCTAGCTGAGCTGGAGGAACACACTGGTTCTGCAGAGCAGAAAGTTCAAAGAGAAGTCTGTAAGGCATGTCCCAGGCTGAACTCAAAAGGGCTTGGGGTGGAAATTTTGTCAGCCCTAGTCATATGCAGTGAAATATTTGTGTCATGCTGGCAGAGGCAATGAGCTTTTTTTTTTCTTCTATAATTTACAAAATATGAGCAAGTAGGTAGTTAAGGCATTGCAATTCTTCCATGAATGGAATAATTTTGCATGGATTTTCTAAGCAGAAATATAACTGGTGCATGGGGAATTACTTTGTCACTCTCACAAAATGTAATTTCATCCAAACAGGCAAAATGATGCAATTATCTGGTCAGATAATGCAGCACACTATGCATACATGGGCAGTGAAGATAGCCTTTTATTCCATGAACTAGAGATGATTGCTCTAGAAAATTTGCTGGGTCACTTTTAATTATTAAAAGAGCAAATTCATGGTTTCTTTGTGGTCGAGCCACACTGTATAGTATTTTCTTTTTTGTTCTATTTAAATTTAGGTGGGTTATTAATACTTCCTGGCAGTGGTTATGAGAGAAGGATGACTGAGAATTTGGTAGACAAGTTAATCTCATTTTTACTGTGTTTCTAGAGCCACCCACTTTCCCTTCTTACAAATTGACACCAAAAAGTCATTACCAGTTTTGCAGAGACCAAAGTACTGACCTCCTGCATCCTTCTGTCTTACCTTCTGCCCTGTTTTTGCTGCTCTCTGCTTTTCTTCTGCACATTTCTCATTTTTCAGCTTCTCTCACCAGACTGTCATTCAGGGCACCTCCACACATGACTCCTGCCTGCAGGCACCTTTGTGGGATTGATGTTATTTAAGGCCAGGGAGTCAGTAAAGAGTGGCCACTGACTCAATGAGATGAAACCATGAGGTACCTAGCAAAACCCTATTTCCAGCCCCATACCCTGCAAATGAACACGCTCTTAATGTCAGTAAATAATCAGTTGAACATCAAGACCACTGAAGCCTGATGGATTTGTATAATGGGTGAGTACAAATCAGTGCTGAAGCCATTTCCCTACTGAAGTGTTACAGATTCTTTCCCCTACAGTAGGTGTTGGAGGACATAATGTCAGGTTCATACCACAGCTCTACTTTTAGTGCGACTGCTTGTAGAGGTTGTGTATGGGTGTCCTCTCTTCTACTAGACAAAATATTTTCATTTGGCTTTTAGAAATGCTGGTGACTTTGATATCTTTGTCACATTTGGCTCCTTTGGACAAGGAGTTCAGCCACTTTTTGAAGGGAAAAGGCACAGATGTGCACACACAGACACCGAGACTGCCTTACAAAGTGGGACTAAGTTATAGACAGCAGAGAAATCTTTTGGGTGTTCTTTTACTACTGGTTGCACTAGCCTTTGGTGAGTATTTTCAGCAGGAATTTTACCCAGCTGTGATGTCTTTGAGTGTTTCTGACTGTCATGGTTTAAGCACTGCCAAAACGTAGCATCTCTAAAGTCATCATTTAGCAAGTGTCTGGGGAAGCCCTGTTCTGCCTGAGGAAACAGTTTCCGAGTTTTAGCAGTCACACTTGGAGAACTTTAAAGCCCAGCAGTGATAGCTTTCATCTAGAGGAAGGTTATCTTATTTTTCCCCCAGATATATGTGTTGGTCTTGGGGAAGATATTACCTCTTCCCATAAACCTCACCACATTTATAGCCCTGGACTATCCTGGCTGCAACAACTGTGAAAGTACCTTCAGCTTTTTATTTTCTCTTTCATTTCAAGCCTTGTAAATTCTATGTTAACATTCTCACTGCTAGCTGAAGAGCAGTGTATCTCACAATATTCCTGTCTTCTTGTGGAACATGTGGCATGACGTTGAGGAATATGCCCAGAGCAGTGTCATGTGCACTTCACTTGCACAGGTATGAGGAGTAGAAGTTGCAATGGCTGCCAAAGGATGGGTTCATAAAGTAGTTGAACACTTTGGATCAAAAATGGGGAGCTATGAGGGTTTTGAAAGATCAGGACTTGGAGATTTCCTTTGGCTTCAGCTTCTTGCAGAGCTGGAGCATCTCTCACTGACAAGCAGCCTTTTTGACTGAAGTGATAAATGTAACTAAAGTGATAAAAATTGGTGGAGGTTTTCTGCTTCCCTGCTTCCCAGTGCCTCACGTTCCTGAGCATGGATGTCCATCATTAGTGATTATGGACCTGAAACCTTTCCACAGCTAGTGTGGTTGCAATTGTGGAAATAGGAAGCAATAGTCAGCTAGAAATCACTGAGCATGGTCCTGTCATGTCTGTGGGTTGTGTGTTTTTTAAATGTTGGCTAAAAGGTGTCTCTCCACAGCTGTTTTTTTTTCCTGCCGTATATTATCTCTAATAAAGCTGAAGCCGTGCGATTCACCCATTGCCCTCCCACCGCATTTTTATGTTCTGAGAACAAAATATAATCAGCTTTTATTTTTTAGTTTGGGCAGATAATATATATGCTTTTAATGTGCTCTTCAACTTATTACCCAGCTGCAGAAAACACTCCAGTATGCAAGTGCAGGAGATATGTTTATGTCTGGTCATCTCTGGAATGTGTAGGCTGGGAAACTTGCGGGATGGCTGTGCCGACGATGACCTGCCAGCACCAACAGCCCCATCTGTGATGGTGGAGAGGGAACGTGGGTGCCTCTGCAGTACTCAGGGTCTTGGAAGGATGCTTCCTACATCTCTTGGGATTTGTAGTCCCTTAGTGCCTTGCAGTGGCACTCAGCAGTTCGTAGGATTGGGCTTCTGCATGGCGGAAGAGAAAAAAACCCTCAGGAATTTTGTGTGTGCAAAAGGCTCCTAGAAAACTGTCGGAATTAAAATGATCACACATGTCCTTCAGCTTAGGAAAAGAGAGCTCTAAGTGAGAGCATGTGTGCTCTGGATCTCGGGCTGAGAAAATGTCAGGCTGATGTGCTTGGGAAGTTCATATTGATACAAACAGGGAGGCTCCCTGCTGCCCACAGATTTCCCACATAAAAGGCCTACTGGTAGCCGTGGGAACTTAGCAGCAGCCACGCTGTGGCTAAAGTCACCACTCTAAAAATGTAGTGAAATTAGTGTTCATAAAAGTGAAAAACATGCCACAAGAATGAAGATGTTCTGATTCACAGCCATGAAAATTACTTGAGTTCTGGCATAAAAAAGAGAAAAAAGCGCTGAATTTTGCAGTTACTCTGGCTTTGGAAACGGATTGCTGGTGAATTTCTGAAAAGTTCCTCTGAACAAAAGTCTTGGCTTTTCAAAAATCAATTTATTGCCCCAAAACACATCCTCCTCCCCCTCCCTCCTTGTGCCCGTGATGTGACGCTGGTCCTTCCTGCCAGCCCCGTGGAAAGGGCAAATGCTGTGCTGCGCAGTGGCCCCTAGTGAAACTGAGCAGCTTGTTCCAGAGCCTGCAAAATAATTTCCAGCAGCTGGGTTGTTGCTAATTTCAGTCCTGCCTTCCCATCTGACCTGCACCTCGCTCAAACTGCCGCTTGCTCTGTGTATTTTTAAGACAAATAAAAAATCCAATAGGAGGCTATAGTGGACCAACTGACTTGTCCCAGTGTAAATGAAACATGAACGTGGAACCCAGAGGCAAAGGTAACACCAGCAATAATGCAGCTGCTGTAGCTTAACAACATGATTTAGCACCATTTTTGGTTTGAAGTTCCCTTTTTTTACTTTTTCTGCTATGCCTACCATAAGGAGAGGGGATGGCTATGCTGGCTGTAGCTCTTGATGCTAGAATTTGGATTTGTGTGTTGTATCTCTGTTCTAGTTAGTGAGACTCATCCTCAAACAGGTACTTTTGTCCCACACAGCTTTTGCTTTTCTTCAACTAGAAGGGCCTGAAACATCAGCTCTGTAGTCAAAGCTTTGATGAGGCTCTCTCCCTGTGTCCTATCAAGCCTGTCTTCCTTGATTTTCCAGGAGACATGCTATGGAGCAGTGAGCATTACCCTCCCCTTGCTCCTCATGGTGTTGCTCCACCACAGTGCCATACCACGGATCAGCAGCCAAGCTGACCCTCATCCAGCAGGCTCTTGTGCTCTCTGGTCAGACACCACCTTCCCATCCCCACCCCCACCCCAGCAACAGCTTATGACAACAGCAATCTTACAAATAAAACAGGAAATTATTTCGATAGGGGATGTGGTGGCTGGCAGAGAAAAGTGCAGTACGTCTGATGCGCTCTTGCTCTTTCATGTGAGTGCCGGGCCCCTGCAGAATGTTGCAAGGGAATGAATGTGCAGCCTTTCATGTGGTGGAGGGACCCGTGCTTGTTTTTGTTGTTGTTGCTACCGAGACCTATTGTGATATCTGTCCTGGTGACCTGGGTCCGAATGCTGCAGTTCATGATGTGGCAGCATTTTGCCCTGGGCTACCATCAGCATATGCGTGCTAGTGCATGGGCATTGCCTGATGATCTGGTCTGCACTTGGGCCACCATGGTAACCCCTTGACATCAAGGTCACAGCTACTTCCTTACATTAACTGCATCCAGGACAGCTGTGCTTGGCCAGTAAATGATTCACTTGCCCACCACTTCCCAGTATAAGATACCGTTTTGGTCTGATGCCTGACTATCCAACCTGAGATTTCTCCTGAGAAGAGCCTTTAGCATCTAGTTGAATTATTTAATGGGAAGGCTTTTAATGGCTTGGTCCTACTTCATCCTCCCCATTTTCTTCTGGGCGATCAGCTTGAAGGAAGAAGGGATCTGGGTGAGCGCTGCCCTGGGAATGCTGAGCATCTGGAGCCTCTCAGGCTAAAAGATGCTTCTTGGCCTCAGAAGGCTGAGTGTTTTCTTAGAGGTAATGTTTTGGGCTTGGAAATGCACTTTTGGTCTGTTTCCACCAGCTTTGTATTTACAGTGAGCATTTTATTTCTCTCACCAGCTGGGTTAAGTGTTTTTTTCCCGTAGCATTCAAATGCTTGGAATAGAGGTTCAAATCCTTCTCTGCCCTCGAACACGAACATACCATATCTGGGTCAGGAAGTCCCTGACCTCCAAATCACTGGAGGTTGAGAGAGTATGTCATGGTAGCTTTATTATAGGCTTGCCCTAATCTTGTATTCTTTCCTAGGCATCTGCTATTGCCAGCATTAGATGTTAGACTAGAGGGACCTTTGGTCTGACCTCCAATGGACATTTTTATGGTCTTTTGTCTTTATCTGAGGTCTCCAGAGGCTAATAAAGATTTTGTAAATATAAAGAATTCATTGTGATCTAAGGAGTTGTGAGCATAGGAGGGCTCTCCCAACCCGCCCTCCCTGGGAGCAGAGGTCTGATAAGAGAAGTGGGTGTCTGGCAAGTGCTGATGAAACGACTTCCAAAATCTATCAGTTGCTAAATAGATGGTCCTCAGTGAGTAATGAAAATAACTGTTTCTGGACACTTCTTAACATACGCTTCTTTATACGGTGTAGGATTGAATAATTTCATGCAGTGTGTAGTTTATCATTTAGGTTTGCTTCTAGCATTGGGTCACAGCCTCACTGGAAACAACAGATCTACCTATGTCCTTTGGCTTCTTAATTGGTTTCTTCCAAGGATAAAGAGGTCCCGAAGACGCCCTGTGTCCCCTTGCCAAGCCCTGAAGGCCTGCTGAGAAGAGTGGGTACCCGTGCTTGTTGTTCGCTGTTATCTAAATGGAGCAACTTTAATATCACAAAGCTGTGCAAGGGCGTCAGGTGTGCTGAGACACATGATGTTTGTGCTGCCACTGGATGTGAGCTCTGAGGTTATCTTTAGTGCACAGGAAATGCCAAGGGGGTTTTCAGACAGCAGAAAAGCAGAAAAGACTCCTCTGAGCTTGTTTTCTCTTCTGCTTGCCTCTCTATTCTGCTTGGTCAGATGGAGCAAGAGGGACAGAAATTCTTTGCGTAACTCAGTTTTCCTTTCCTCTTTCAGTTGGCTTTTAAACAGCATTTCTGCATAAGGTAGAGCAGCGTTATAGCTGAGAAACGACCTTAGCCTGGCAATGTGGAAGGCTTGTCCAAGTGGCCCT